ATAGTGGCACCAAAAATGCCTCCAGACATATTGCCAGATGTCCCCTGGAGGCAAAATCACCCCAGAGTTGAGAACCACTGGTCTAAAAGGAGTAAAAAGCCAAATTCCTACATTAACCCTGATGGGCAACTATTGAAAGGAGACACTGACTCTAGTAAATATTTCTACCTGCATGATTCTTTGACTTTATCAGCTCTGCCTAAAATCGGCTCCAAGTGTCTCACAGTTATTTGCTTTGTGCAGAACAACGTCCCAGGCACATATACATTAACTATGTAAGATTTGAGGTAAGGGGGGAGTAGAATAAAGCTCTCCTTCTCAACAATAACTCCACTTCTCCCTTACAAAATTCATCTTTGCCTGTGAGGAAGAGTCACCAGGAGGCTGCAGAGTAAGAATGGGTATTCAACAGAGAACAGCAGTACTTGAATACAATGCTGATTTTATTCCAGGGAAATAAAGCAATGCACAAGACCTGGGCAATAAGCTTAACTCAAGAGGCAAAAGCCGAGAAACAAGGATTTTTTTTGTGTTTGTTTTAATTATCAATTGCTCCACATAGCTCTCTTTCACACCTCCTCTCAGAAAATGTGGGCTAACAAATCCCATGCAAAAGAACATAGGAAAGAGAAAAAGGGGAAATGGAATTCATCTAGCATACTGTTGAAGGTGGTTTCTCCAAGTTCTCTTCTATAAACTGCTCCATCAACACGGTCCACTCCGGATTATTTTAATGTCATGACCATCTTCCCTGCAAATTGAACAACCATAAAGACACATTTACTACCTACCTACCACACTGAAACTGTCCCACTCTTTGAACCAAAAAGACCCATGTCATTATACATTAGATTCTAAGGTGATGCTTACTTAATCATTTTTAAAGCTAAATCTAGTAAACAATAGGGCCCCAATTCTGCCATTTTTCCCTGACCCTAAGGCACAGGGCACTAACCTAAAAAAAAATCACTATGCGAAGACCTAGGTAACTCACTGAAGACTGACATCAGAGAAAGGACCCCGAAATACAATGCAGCCTACCTTGTCATGGTGTGATACTTTGTATGTGATTCCTACTCACAGTAGACAATAAGCTAAGTTACAGCAAGACAAGATGTGAGTCTCAGCGGCCAATGTGAGCGCCCATATTAGTTGTTTGTCAGAATCTAGGACTTAGAGTCCGGTATAACCATTACACCCAAATAAATGGACCCTCAAGTGAAGGAGCTTCAAATGTCTAGGAGACATTTGAAGGCCGACTGACCACCCAAGCTATAGGTGCAAAGATACTGTGTCAAAACAGATGCTGCTGGAGGCTCTGTCAGCGCAGAAGGTGACCTGACCGAAATCCAGGCCGAAGTTTGTCTCAGGTCCAACGACTGGACAGGTGCCTCACTGCTCACCTTGTGACACCTCCTTCCTGGATCCTCTTCAGAGTGGTTCATTAATTCCCTCCACTAATTTTCTTCTGTGACTAACTTGTGTGATAAAGTGCGCAATAAACTGAGTAATTCATGAATTTAATATTGGCACTACATGGTTATTTGAAATGTGTCTTAATCCTGTGATTCGCCCTGCTTCATACGTACAGGAGATGTCACAGTCACCTGTGAGTTACATGAAAGGCATCATGTATAACACACTACTTAGCATTCTACTAGGTAGAATTATTACCTAGTAATAATTCAATCCAACTAGTTTTGCAGGTTGTACAGGTACCTGCACATGCCCTCTGAATTTAAAAGAATATTTAATATTTCATAGTTTAACTATTAATACACTCTTAATTTGGGGAAATTGCCCATCCATGAAGAGTAACATAACCTGATTATCAAGTGTATAACTGGTTAATCACAAATGTCACTCTCTGACTTTGACCTGGAAAATGAACTGAAGGATTGTCTTTTTAAATGTCAGTCTGAAAACACAACTACTATGTCACATTTGATTCTTACATCCAAGAAAAGAGTCACTACTTCCTAAGTAATCAAAAATCAAGAAAAGGACTAGTCTATACTGTAAAATTATGTTACCGGATTTTCATGCACAGAGTACACTCGTTAGGATAAGTGGACATGTCACTTCCACACACGGGGTTAAAGTCTCTGGGACATCCTGGTAATTTATATTGATTGCAGTTTGGCTAGGAAAGAAAAAGGAAGACAGAAATTACATAACTGAGACATTCTCATCACAAAATAGTTGGTGGGGGGGACAAAGTCCCAAGGCTCCTAAATTTCCTAGAAACACCCTACAAAAATATTTCTATTTTCCACACAAAAAAAGATTTTTCTAATGCAAAAATCAGATGCAGTATTGAAGCAATGGTTCAATACCCACTATGTAAGAAAAGGACCTTAGCCAGGCTGATTTTTAAATGAAAGTCCAGGGGCTCCTGGGTGACTCAGTCAGTTAAGCGCCCGATGTCGGTTCAGGTCATGATCTCACAGTCCATGGGTTCAAGCCCCACATGGGGCTCTGTGCTGACAGCTCAGAGCCTGGAGCCTGCTTCGGATTCTGTGTCTCCCTCTCTCTCTGCTCCTCCCCTACTCACACTCTCTCTCTCTGTGTCTCTCTCAAAAATAAATAAACATTAAAAAAATGTAAATGAAAGTCCAAGACAGGCCACCATACCCACTTTCCAACCCTCTAGCTTTATAATTATACTTCACTACTGTCTCCACAAGAGTGTTGTTACATTCAACCTTAATCCTTTGGCGTGATGTCAAGACAAATTCAGGAATCTAATCTTTCAGTCTGGATCTTTAAGGTACTGGCATTCAACCAAGTGCAACAAAGAAAACAGCACTGGCACTTAGGGGTGGTGATGGGTTGAATTGTGCCCACCCAAAAAGTTACGTTATTGGAAATAGAGTCTTTGTACAGGGAATCAATTTAAAATGAGGTCAGTAGATTGGGCCCTAATCCAATAGAACTGGTGTCCTTATAAAAAGGGGAAATTTGGACACAGAGTCATAAACAGAGGGAAGGTCACATAAAGACATAGAATTTACAAGACAAGGAGCACCTGGGGCTACCAGCACCTAAGAGAAAGGCATGGAACAGATTCTTCCTCACAGTCCTCAGGAGGAACCAATTCTACCAACATCCTAATTTAGGACTTCTAGCCTCCAGAACAGGGAGACATTCAATTTCTGTTGTTTAACCCCCTCAGTTTGTGGTACTTTATTATAGCAGCCCTAAGAAGCTGATACCAGGTCATGGAACTCAATCCTGTGATTTGATGGAATTGAGGCCAGTCAGGTAATACGTCTTGCTCACAGCTGCCAATCTCCAGCAGGACCAGTACTAGACCTGGTCAGTGATCAGACTATGATGTGCAGAGTCTCACTTTAACAAAAGTCTAAATATATGGCCCACTGTATTTCTGTTTTATATGCATACATTTAAGGGCACCTGGGTAGCTCAGTCGGTTTACTGAGGGAGGCTTGTTTTGGCTCAGGCTATGATCTCGTGGTTTGTGAGTTCAAGCCCCACAATGGGCTCCACACCAATATTATATATATAAATACTGGTTTTAGTAAATGGTGATCACTTTTCCTCACTTCAGAGTAAAAGAAGCCGCCCTGTTTTAGCACTCTGAATAAATGTGGCACACATTTCTACTGATACTATCTGGATTTATAAAGACCTAAACAAGGCTGGCCATGAGCCAAACTCTGAAGTAAAAGAGGTTTTGTTGACCCTTTCCATCCTCTGTTCAGCTTTCATTGAGGAGCATGATATGCTGCCCAAGGCTCACTAAGGTGATTCTTATAGGGCTGCTCTCACAAGCAGAGTAGATGCCCTCTTATTCAATGAGACTGGGAGAAATGGTAGTTGGTCATTTAATTGATAAAGTCAATTAAAGCAAGGAAGCAAGGAAACAAAATATATATCCCAAGCATTTTATCATAAAACATATAGGTGAAAAACAAAATTGCCAATCTTTTGATGTAGGACAATGACAGGGCATGTAGCCACCTGTAATGCTACTATAAGATAACTTTCCTTGTCACTAGGTATGACTGTATGATTAAGGTAAGGCCAATGGGATATACATGGAATTATTGTACAGCAACTTCTGGGAACCTCCTTTAAAAGAAAGCAGGTACTTGTCCTTTGTTTGCCCTCAATTTTTTTCTTAGTCCATTCCTCCATCCTCCTGCAGAGTTCATGGAGCTCTAATCTTTGTTTAGAGCTTTGTTAGACTGGGAAGATAGAGGCCACATTCTCGGACAGCAGCACTGTGTGCTCCTATTTTGAGTTTTTGTTACTTGCAGCTGAATCTAATCCTAACTGATACAAGAGATGAGAACTTTCCTTTGAATATTTCAACTACAGTTGATCTTTGAACAACATGAGTTTAAATATATTTTCTCTTCCTTATGATTTTCTTAATAACATTTTCTTTTCTCTAACTTACATGAATACAGGTAAGATAAGGATGTAACACATAACATACAAAATGTATATTAATCAACTCTTTATGTTATCAGACTTCTGGCCAACAGTAGGCTATTAATTAAATTTGAGGATCAAAAGTTATGCTCAGATTTTTTACTGTTGGGGGGGGGGTCAGCATCCCTAACCCCCTGCATTATTCAAGGGTCAAGTGTAATTAAGAGTTTTGTGTGCTATCACTGCAAAAATGATACCCATAATAAGTCACATATTATTTCCTATTTTGGTTTATTTAAAACAGAATTTCTTGGGGCACCTGGGTGGCTCAGTTGGTTAAATGTCTAACTCTTGATTCAGCTCAGGTCACAATCTCACGATTTGTGAGGGTCTGCACTGGCAGCACAGAGCCTGCTTGGGATTCTCTCTCTTCCTTTCTCTCTGCCCCTCTTCTGATTACGCTCTCTCTCTCTGTCTCTCAAAATAAATAAATGAATTTTAAAAAATGTTGCTGCTGTTGTACTGTTGTTTCACACAATTCATATTTTGGACCAGATAATTCTTTGTGATGGGAGACGGTCCTGTGCACTGTAGGATGCTCTCTATCCATTAGATGCCAGTATAAACTCCCTAGTCATGATGATCTAAAGTAACACTCTAAATGTCTGCTGGAGAGCAAAATTGACCCTAATTAAAAACTAATATTTTAAAATACAGAATTTAAGGAGCACCTGGCTCAGTTGGTAGAACATGTGACTCTTGATCTTGGGATTGTAGGTTCAAGCCCCACACTGGGTGTAGAAATTACTTAAAAATAGGGGATGACTGGGTGGCTCGGTCAGTTAAGCATCTGACTTTGGCTCAGGTCATGATCTCAGTTTGTGAGTTCAAGCCCCAGGTGGGGCTCTGTGCTGCAAGCGTGGAGCCTGGAGCCTGCTTAGAGTTCTGTGACTCCCTGTCTCTGTCCCTCTTGAACTCATGCTTTCTGTCTGTCTCTCTCTCTCTCTCTCTGAAAAGTAAATAAACATTTAACAAAATTACTTAAAAATAAAATCTTTAAAAAAATACAGTCTTCTGGCATACAAAAGACAGTAGGCTATCTACAGCCAGTAAGTGATCAATACACTATGGAAATTGTTCAGAGAGAAGGGAGAGGATCACTTGTGAGTTGCTTAAGTGGAAGGTGTTGAGTGAGTGTTTAGTGTTAACAACTAGCCCTGGTGGACCTACACAGGGTTGCCTGTGCATACAACCTCACAAACTTGTTAAAAACTGATTTAGTGCCATTGGCAATGACATGTATGGAGCTAGAGAGTATTAAGCTAAGGGAAATAAGCTAGTCAGAGAAAGACAAATACCATATAATTTTATTCATATGTGGAACTTAAGAAACAAAACAAACAAGCAAAAGGGAAGAGAAAACAGAGAGTGAGGCAAACCAAGACACAGACTGTTAACTACAGAGAACAAACTGATGGTTTGGAACTGATGTTCCAGAGAGGAGGTCGGTGGGGAGATAGATAAAATAGGTGATAGGTATTAAGGAGTGCTATGATGAGCACCAGATGTTGTATGGAAGTGTTGAATCACTACATTGTACACCTGAACTTACCCTGTCTGTTAACAAACTGGAATTTAAATAAACACTTAAAAAACAAACAAACAAACAAACAAACACTGATTTGGGGCCTCATTCCAGACCTACTCGATTAGAATTTCCAGGGTTAGAATCCATGTGTCTAGAGGCCCCTCAATTCTGATTCAGCTAGAACTGGCTTTAGAAATGGCTATTCCCAATCATCTTGACATCCAATCCACTTAGACTATGTATGGAAGCTAAGGAGAATGCACCAAGACACACAGTTTGGCACACAATTTCAGGGATCCCCTGCTCTAGACCTTTTTTTCCTCCCTTTGTTTAACCAAAGTACATCTTGCCTATGCCCACTCTCTGATTAAATAGGTAAATAACTAATCAAAATCAATCTATTTAGCCTAAAGATCTTAGGGTTTTTTTTTAATATTCAACAGCAGTTTTCAAATGCTTTCATCTCAAAGAATGACTAGTAAATGAATTTTGAGGAGCAGTAACAGGCTGGTAAGGAAGTTTTGGTGTTTTATTTTGTTTTGTTTTGTTTAAGCGGAAGACCTTTGATGTCTCTCAGATCCCCAAGAGATCTACCCAGCTGGAAGGCAATGTTGATATTTCAGTCTGATTCCAGTCTAATTCTCATGATTTCAAAGCCAGCTTTGGCTAGCCACCATTTAACTTTATTAAATTCAGGTAACTCATTCCCTGGATTTTCTCTGAGCAGAGACATGAGGCTTTATGAACAAACACTTTTCACTCTTATCAATGAGGTCAATCAATTTCATTAATAAATTATGTTCTCATTAACTCTTAGCTTTATACAGTTACCCAAATTTATGAAAAAGGAAAAGAAATTCAGAACAGGTTCACCATCTAGGGAGGCTCTAAATTACACCCCACAACATGCCAACTAGAGAAAAGAGTTTACCCCTGGCAGACGGCTCCTCAGAGCTTTAGAAGACACTCTCATTCTGGAATAGTGTCACATGGCATTTTTATTTATTCTTTAGAATCAATTTAATTTTTATAGAAAGATGTCCTATGCTTTTAAGTAATTCTCTGAGCTCTATACTCTGAATCTTTTCTTTTGAAAGATTCGTAAATACTTTACCAAATATAGTCCCTCATTTGTTTATTCAATAAATGAAGAAGATTTTAAGATAGATGTTAGAGAACTACAAAGACAAATTGAGTCCTACCTGTAAGAAGTTTGGTGTATCATTAGAAAATCAAGAAATAGACATGGTGCTCTTAAAGGATGGACAGAATTTAGATTAGAGAGATTTGGGAGAATGTCCACCTCAAGGAAATAAAACAGACTAACCAAAGGCACAGTAGTGAGGGAAGTGTCTGATCTGAGAGCAAGGCAGTTTAATTTAAAGGAGCATCCAACACTCTTTCATAATAAAAACACTCAACAAACTAGGCAGAAAAGAGAGCTTCCTCCAACCCGATAAAGAATATCTATAAAAAACATATTTAATGGTGGAAGACTGAATGCTTTTCCTCCAAAATTAGGAATGACAAGGATGTCCATTTTCATTTGTTCTATTCAACATTGTACAGAATATCCTAGAAAAGACAATTAGGCAATAAAATAAATATAAAAGGCATCCAGATTGGAAAAGAAGAAATAAAACTATCTCTAATCAAAGATGCTATACTCTTTTTATAGAAAGGTCTAAGAAATCCACAAAGAAACTGTTAGAACTAAAAAACAAGTTCAATATGATTGGAGGATACAAGATCAATATACAGAAACCAACTGTACTTCTATACACTTGCAGTGAACAATCTGAAAATGAAATTGAGAAAAAAATTCCATTTATAACAGCATCAAAAAGAATAAAATATTTAGGAAAATATTTAGCAAAAGAAGCATAAGAATTGTACAGCAAAACTACAAAACATTGTTGAAATAAATTAAAGGACTAATAAGTGAAAAGGCATCCCATATTCATGGATCAAAAGATTTAACTTTCCTAAGATGGCAACATTCCCCAAACTGGTCTACAGATTCAGTGAAATCCCTATCAAAAATCTCAACTGTCTTTTTGCAGCAGAATTTGGCAAACTGATCTTAAAATGCATATGGAAATGCAAGTGACCTGAATAGCCAAAACAATCTCAAAGAAGTTGGAGGATTCACACTTCCCCATTTTGAAACTTACCACAAAGCTACAGTAATTAAAACAGTGTGGCACTAACACCTGAAACTAATACAACACTGGATGTTAATTACACTACACTAGCATTAAAATAAAAACAAAACAAAACAAAGAAAAAACTGTGGCCCTAGCATAAGGATAGAAGAACATAAGCTATGGGAAAGCAGTGGAAGGTACAGGTAGAGAGATAGGCTGCAGTAAGGACACTCTGTGAACACTGGGAAGCTCCAGTGTTTAGTGGAGACACTAAAGAGTTAAGGAAAATTACTTATGGGGTCACTATGCTTGGGGACTCTAAACTGGAACAGTAGCAACAGAACTGGGAAGAAAGCAAAGATCTCTTGAGTGATTCATTCTTTTAATAATCCTGCACAAACAGACCGAGGTCCTGTAGCATTTGCTTCCTGAGAGAGAGTGCCTTTTAAAATTTTGCACCCTAGACACCCAACTAGCCTTACCCTAATGCCAAACTTGAGATGAAGGTGGGACTATTCCCATTTTCTGAAAGAAAATCAAACTCCCCAAAATTGAGTCTTCTGATTAAAATGTATTATTGAGCACCTGCTAAGTGCTGAAGATTGGACACCAAATAGCAAGACATCATCCTTGACCACAGTAGTATACAGTTTACTGAAGGGAGACAGGCAAACAGGCAATTTACAGTTCAATGCTATGATGGGTTAGTGAAGAGCACTGGATCTGGAGTAAGACTGCTTGGGTTGGAATCATAGTTCCACCCTGTGGCCCATGCCTGGCTAAGGGGATAATAATGATACTTCATAATGCTATAAAAGATTAAATGAGTTATTATGTTTAAAGCATTTAGAACAGTATTTGGCAGGGGTGCCTGGCTGGCTCAGTTGGTAGAGCATGCACTCTTGATCTCTGAGTTGTGAGGTCAAGCCCCACACTGGGTGTAGAGGTTACTTAAAAAAAATCCCAGAATATGTCACCCCAAAACTATGACTCTTTGACATAATTATTTTGAGTTAAAGACAGCTAAGAAGTAACAAACCCAAGAAAAGTGCTCTGTACCCTCCCCCCTTTTCTGCCTAAAGGCAGGATATAAATTCTCCTTTACTGAAGACAACTCTAGACTCAGCCCAGAGATGGCACCAGAGGAACCTGCAAACAAACCTAACTCCATTAGTTTCCTCCCATATATTTACCTTCCCATAGTATGCCACCCTTGGAAGCCTAGAACCATTTTACTTTGTCCTGTCATGTCTCTGCATGTCTGCTTATAAGTCTGACTTGTAGTAGGCTGGCTTCCTGGGCTGGTTATTCTAAATAATGAGTTGGTTTCCTGAGTAGGTTGCTTCAGGTTGTGGGTCAGAGTTCTATTTTAATAAATGGTCTGACATTGTCCATTTGTATATTTTCTTTATACAATTTATTGCTCTTGTTAAAGATGCTATATAAGTCAGAGTTCTAAACCACCTCTTTGAATTACTCATCTCTGAATGCTCCCACATGTATGTGTGATGCACATGTTAATAAAATTTCTGTTTTTTTTTTTTTTTCTTGTTAAACTGTCTTTTGTTCAAGAGGCCCCAGCTGAGAACTTAGAAGGGTAGAGGAAAGCTTCTAATCTTCCCCTACACTGTCATGGTGATGATGATGATGCAGTATAGGTTGCATGAAACCAAAGAGAAAGTGCATTTACATATTCTTTGGAGTTAGAAAATGGGATGAGAAGGTTTCCTGGAAGAGGTCTACTCTGAGTTGAATACTCAAAGTTACTTAACCCCCTAAGGTAAATATCCCCATATGTAAAATAATATCTATCATACAAGGTCACTATGAGGATTGAGAGACTGAATACACGAATGGACAATGTCAGACCATTTATTAGAATAGAACTCTGACCCACAACCTGCAGCAACTTACCCAGAAAACCAACTCATTATGTAGAATAACCAGCCCAGGAAGTCAGCCTGCTATAAGTCAGACTTGTAAGACGTCAGACAGCCATCTCTGATGACAGTCCAAGAAGCCAAACAATAACCTCCATAACAACTGGCCCCAAATGGCCAGGACTTGGTTAATACCTTCCAGTTTCTCTGAGGTTTGTCCCCACATCCAACTGAGGATCAACCAAAGAAAGCCAAATATGCACTCCTTACCAATCACACAGGAAGCCTGCTTCTAGTTAGCCCACATACAGCTTCCCCAGGCCAACAGCTCCAATCAGGGCATACCTAAAGCCTTCCCTTGTTCCTGCTGCAAAGCTTCCCCCCTCCTCTGCCTGCCTTTGAGTCTCCACCAAAACACAAGTGATAAGTGTGGCTGACTCCCTTGCTACATCAAGCTGTGAATTTTGCTTTTTTGCTTGTTCTCATTTAGTTGGGCTTCATTTGCTTCCACAGACTTCAATTTGATAATGTTCATACAATTTCTAGTACAAGACATAACCATTAGATCAAGGGTCTTTTGAATCATTAAAGAAACTATTAAAGGAAATAATGTGCTGATGCCATCAAGGACTGAGCTATTTTCAACCAAAATTTACAATTTTGATCTGTATCAAAAAGCCTGCCTTAGAATCAGATTTCTAAAGAAGTAAACAGTTTCAAAAGTGGCAGGTGAGACCTGAAAACCAGCCCCAGCCCAAACTGTGTGGGCTTCACTATACTAGTGGAAATAATACAAGTGGCTTCCTACTTACTGTTCTGTATTCTGAAGTCTGGCTGAACTCAGAGCTCGAGGAGTCCAAAGAGGCTGTCAGAAAAGAGGCATTTTAAACTATATGATTAAGGTCAATTCTTATTGATAAAGGGCTTTTAAAATCCAGCTTGTGATTTATCCAGGCCATACCCTCTCTCAGATGCCCAACTTCTTTGAACAGCCCCCATTGCCCACCCCTACCCCCAAAGAAGGGTATTTGGTTGTTTTCTGGCACTCTTGTGACAGGCACACAGAAGGAATATTTGGTATGGGTTCTGTAACTGACCACCCTAACAGGCTTGCTTGAGAAAGAACTTTGGAACTATGGAATAAAAGGCATAGTCGTATGGGACACCTGGATGGCTCAGTGGGTTAAGCATCATCCAACTTTGCCTCAGGTCATGATCTGGTGGTTCATGGGTTCCAGCACTGTGTCAGGCTCTGTACTGACAGCTCAGAGCCTGGAGCCTGTTTCAGATTCTGTCTCCCTCTGTCTCTGCCCCTCCCCTGCTCATGTTCTATCTCTCTGTGTCTCTCAAAAATAAATTAAAACATTAAAAAAAAAAAATTTTTTTTTAAGTCAGAGAAGTAACTCTTACTAATTCATGATATTCTTGTCCTCAGTGGCTAGGGTAACAAACACACAACTTAACATTTGGTATTACCACTTTAACTCCACTTTCAAATGGGCGTCAAGACCAGGTGGAATAAAACCCCTTTCTCACAAGCCTCAGAGTGCCTGATGCATTTGGCATTCACAATCCCTAATTCCTGTTCATCTCTTGCAGACGTAGGGTCACTGTGTCCATAAAAACCCAATTTCTGATCTTGGGTTCCAGAAAATCAGCCTTAAGGGAGAAAGAGCAGACAGCAGTGTGTCACTAAGAAGGAGCTGGGAGCCAAAGCCAAACAAGATCTTAAAGCACGTCTGCTGGCTCCACCGCCACCCCCGCCCTGCACGACCCCACGTTCGCACTCCTACACGACCGCAGGTCGCGGGGAACCGCCATTAACGTGTGCCTGAAGGGCAGCCAGGGCCTCCAGGATCCAGGGACCGGCTGCCGCGGGCCAGAGCCACTCTCCGCTACTTCTACGCGGCTCATCGGGGCCCACCAGGCCTGCCCGACCAGCGTTACCTGCCAAGTTCCCGGCCAGGAGCAACAGCACCAAGCGCACCACCAAGAACGCCATGCTCCCTCTTTGGCCCGCCCGCCGGTCTCGGCCCGCTCCCGTGCCCGTGCGACACGCAGAGCGCGCCCAGGTCGGACAAGCGACAGGCTTGGGGAGAGGGGGCAAGGGGGACAGGAGGCATGAGAGGGGGAGGGGCTGGAGGAGGAGCGGTTGCTGGCCCCCCACTTCCGCGTCCCGCCGAGGATCGGGGTGAGCGAAGGGAGTGAGCGAAATCTCTCCCTGCAGCAAGCCAGAACCTCGTAAGAGCCCCCGGGGAACAACCCTGGGAGCTCTGTCAGCCAACCCCTGTATCTTCAGCATCTACTCTGTCCAAGACAGTGTTTGGGCGCTAAACTAAACAAAGAACTCGCTCTCGGGAGGTTTTCTGGTGTAGGTGTTGGGCGTGGGGTGACACGGGAAACTCCCTAGCGAATCCATTCAATAATTTCTCAAATTAAGTGCTAGAGAGTGGTGGGAGAAGGTGAAGACTTTCCACGGAGAGATCAGGAAAGGCCTTTCAGAGGTGACATTTGAGCTGAAAGTCGAAGGAGGAGAAGGAATCAGGGTGAAGCCGGTGGGAACAAGTAATCCAGGATCCAGGAAAAGCCAGTGCAGAGATCCAGAGGCAGGAGCCAGCTCAGTGTTTCAGCTGGAGCTGCTGGTGAAAGAGGGGGCAGAGCGAGGGAGATGGAACCCAAGGCCAAGGTCAGGTGTGGTGGTGTAGGCTATGATAAGGAATTTGGACTTTTTCTGGTTGCAGTGGGAAGCTGGTGGGGGATTTTGAGCTTGGGAATGCCCCTGATCTGACTTATGTTTTAATAGATTGGCTGAAGAATGGACAGGAGATGGGTAAGAGTGGAGGCAGGAAGACAAATTAGGTGGCTTTTGCAGCAATCCAGGCATCATCAACCAGAGATGATGGTGGTTTAAATTCATGTGTAGCAGTGCACTGGTGAGAAGTCAGATTCAGGATTTATTTTGGAGGTGGGACCAGGTGGAGTGAAGAGAATAACCAAGGATGCTCCCTAAGCTTTTGTTCTGAACAGCTGAATGGGTGATGGTGCCATTTCTGTGATGAAGAAGATTTGGAGACAACGCCTATCAGACCTCCAAGTGGACATGTGTAACAAGGCAATTGGAATTACAAATTTAGAGCTGGAAATACAAATGAAGGAAACATCAGGGTATGAAAGGTATTGAAAACCATCTCTCTGCAGAGATCCAGATCAGAGCCCTGGTGCACTCCTAGATGCAGAGATTTGACACATGTGAAGAAGAAACCTGTGAAGGAGGAAGAAAACCAGGCTAGAGTCTGGGGTTACTGAACCCAGGGGAAGTGCTGCAACCATGTCAGTTGCTCCTGTGAGGCTGAGAATATGGCAGACTGAGCATGAAGATGGGCTTTGGCAAGATGTAGTCACGGATGACCTTAAAAGGGACTGGTTTAGAGACGTGATGGGGTCCAGGGCCCAAATGGCAAGGATTGAAAGAAATGAGGTGAGAAAGTGGAGACAGAGGGGGCTCCTGGGTGGCTTAGTTGGTTTAGCGTCGGACTTCAGCTCAGGTCATGATCTCGCAGTCTGTGAGTTCAAGCCCTGCATCGGGCTCTGTGCTGACAGCTCAGAGCCTGGAGCCTGCTTCAGATTCTGTGTCTCTCTCTCTCTCTGCCCCTCCCCCACTCACACTCTGTCTCTCCCTCTCAAAAATGAATAAATGTTAAAAAAAATTTTTTTTAAAAAGAAAAAAGAAAGTGGAGACAGAGGGTTTAGATAACATTTGTGACTTTGGGGGAGTCTGGGTGGCTCAGTCTGTTAAGCGCCCCACTCTTGATTTTGGCTTAAGTCATGATCTCATGGTTGGTGAGTTCAAGCCCCACATCGGGCTCTGTGATGACCATGCAGAGGCTGCTTGAGATTCTCTCTCCCTCTCTCTCCCTCTCTTTCTGCCCCTCATGCGTGCTCCCTCCCTCTCTCTCTCAAAAATAAAGTGATGACATTTATTTAAAACAAAAGATAACAGCTGTGAGTTTTGCTATAAAAAGGAAGCCAGATATGGGCAGTTGATGGCCTAATGAGACTTCCAAAATTCCTTTTGAGGTTCATGTCAAAACTCTCCAGTGTCCCCACCTTGCTAGGAGTAAAATCCAAAGTCCTTACTATGGCCTCTAAGACCTCTGCTGGTCTCTTACTGCTCTTCCCTGACTCACTCTTCCCCAGCCACACTGGCCTGCTTGCTCCCATCCAAGGGCCTTGACACTTGCTATTTCCCTCTGCATAGATATCTACACAGCTTCCTCCTTCCATTCCTTTTGTCTCTGCTCAAATGACCCCATATCAGAAATGATTTCCCTGACCATAAATAAAAAATTAGTACTCCCCTCTTCCGGTTCTCCTTACCCTGCTTTTTCCCCCTCTCGTAGGATTTATCTTTTTTTTTTTTTTTTTTTTTTTTAACTTTGTGACACCAGCCACTTGTGTAAGCTCCAAATGGGGAGTGATTCTTTTTTGGCTTACTGATTCATCTCCAGAACCTACAAGAATACCTCACATATATTAGCAGGTTAACAAATATTGAACAAATAAATGAGGGATTCCTAGGGAGTCAGGACCTTACCTAAAATGATGGTCAGAATAAAATAAATAACTAACATGCATAAGCAAAATGGCTATTTTGGTTAAGAAGGAGTTAAACCTTAATTCCTGGTTTTGTATGCATTCATTTTTTGCAGCATCACAAAGCATGGCTATAAAGAGTTTTGTAGTTGAATACTTGGCTCTATAAGTTACTGAACTAGCTCTGAACCTCAGAGCTTCCACTTTTGCCTTCCCCTCGTAAAATGGGTACTATAATAATAGAATCTTGAGTATTAAATGAGGTAATTGTACATAAATGTGTTGAGACATGGTAGAACTCAATAAATTTTAGTCCCTTTCTATTTTCTCCATGATGACATTTGTAAAAGGGCAGCTGTTCTGTTCCTAGGCAATTGGGTGTCTGCTCTTTTTTCAGGTCACATTGGTCATCGTGTCGTCACAGAGCCCTTACTGCCAGTAGGCAGTAACATTGTCTATTTCTCTTACTTCCATATCCCTAGTACCGAGCACTGTGCCTGACACAAGCTCAGTAAATGCTGAATAGGTGAATCCTTGAAATGTCAAACTGACATCACAACAAGGAAGTAAACCAAAAAGGAAGACATAGGATCCAGGAAACAAGAATTCGAACCCGAGAGAGGTTTGTTCGGGTGGACCTTAATCCGACATGACTGGTGTCCTTATAAGAAGATGACATTAGGACCCAAACAAAATGTAGGGATAACCTGGTGAGGAACCAGAAGATGGCCATCTGCAGTCCAAGGAGAGGGCCTTAGAAGAAACCGAACCTGCCAACATCTTGGCCTTGGGCCTCCAGCTTCCCAAACTGAGAAAATACATTTCTATTATTTAAGCCACTCAGTCTGTGGTGCTTTGTTATGGCAGCACCAGGAAACCAGTACATGTACGTGATAAAATATATTTAATGAGTGTTTATTTATTTTTATTTATATTCAAATTATGTGCATGTATCATTTTGTATTAAAAAATTTAACTTTAAGAAATTTAACAAAAGGTTATTTTGAATGTCCTCCAACAAAAGCTCAACATAGTATTGGAGAATAGTATTGATTTACTGATTTTTTTTTCTTCCTAGATAAGCACTGTTTGAGACATTTACTAATTCTGAACAGAAATTTTGGTAACTATTCAGCAAATCTTAATGAGAAGTGTAAAAAAGAGACATAATTTTGCCGAAGAGACACAACGAATTAGTAAACTGGCAGATCCATTTCTTTCTCTTTTTTTAATTTTTTTAAATTTTTTATTTATTTTTGAGACAGAGCATGAGCAGGGGAGGGGCAGAGAAAGAGGGAGACACAGAATCTGAAGCAGGCCCCAGGCTCTGAGCTGTCAGCACAGAGCTGGATGCGGGGCTCGCACCCACAAACTGCGAGATCATGACCTGAGCCAAAGTCTGACACTTAACCAACTGAGCCACCCAGGCGCCCCTTGCAGATCCATTTCTTTTCTGCCTCATATGCCTTTGTGTCAAATGTTGATCCTGTGAAATATTCCCTGTATCAGTCAGGGTCCAGTCTAGAAAAAACGAGCCTCACTAGGAATTCTCCCAGAAAGAATTTAACATAAGGGATTGATCAGACCACTATTGGAAAACAAAAAAGCAGCAATGGAATAGTGAGGTAACACTCAGAGATGGTAACTTCACAATGTATCACCCCTAAGTCTGCAGGAAAAGAGAGAAGAGTTTGAAATTATATTGAGATTTGGAGGAGAGGCCCGGGAAAGCTGAGACCCAGACCTCTGAGCAGGGATGTTGTGTGGCTAGTGCTGGTGGGTCTGAGACCTGTGATGAAGCCAGAGACTAGAAGCAGCTGCTACAGCCCACAGAGGGATGTTGCGTTGGGGTGGGGTGGGGGGGTTGGGGGGGCAGGGATCATATTGGAAATTTCAGGAAGCTAGCTGGCAAAGCAGAAAGGAATTCTAGCACCCCAGAGCCTGGAAGGGTGGTTTTAGAGCTGACATACAATAATCTAATGACTGGCATAGTCACATACCCCACTGCTTGATTTAGCAAACTCAAGTCCTGGGATGAGAAGACAATTTGCAGTTTTAAACTTTATCTGGCACCATGCATGGCTGAGTTCTGACTCAAGAGGGTAAATTTGGAATGAGTTGTTAATACATTTCTGAGTCACATAATTTAAGCTCTCTGAATAAAGTCCCTGAAATGAAGATGGGTTGTTTTGCCAAAGACTTTCATCAAGGAGTGTATATGTTATGTATATTATACACACACATACACACACACATACACACACACACACACACACACACAATTTTCTCCACTTTGTTAGATTTGTTACCAAATAACAAACACTTGATTATAAACATCTTTGTCTCTGATGCTTCAGGAATACAAACTGAAATCTGAGCAGACTCAGGAACAATGTGTAGAGTTGTTAGTTGGAATTTCAGCTTCAAAAAGAAAGCCATGTACCCCTCAAGATAGATTTGTTATACATTTATGTGGGTGGGCTGCTGCTTCCTGTTA